AAGGGTAACTGATGTGATACAGCAATTTGTATACGGGGTAAAAGCGGGAGTTCATAATCCACTTGAATCAAACCGTGTAATATGATGTATTAAGAACTATGTAATGTTATGAACGACCAATAAAAAAAAAATAACTCAGCTAAATAAGTCATTTGTATAATCTGAGGTTTTGAATATCATATTACTAGAGCTTTTGAGAAGGCAATAAATTCACTTCTTTATTGATAATAACTGATATTCTAACATGAAGACAAAAGATTTTTTGTTTTTTTTTTTTTTGTTATTGTTTTTGGTACCGGGGATTGCACTCAGGGGCATTCCACCACTGAGTCACATCCTCACCCCTATTTTGTATTTTATTTAGAGACAGGGTCTCACTAAGTTCCTTGATTTTGCTGAGGCTGGCTTTGAACTCATATCCTCCTGCCTCAGCCTCCTGAGCTGCTGGAATTACAGGCGTGTACCACCATACCCAGCGTAGAAGGACAAAAGTTTTGTAATCTGCAAAGTTTACTATGACTAATGCCATCTCCTATTAATGTGTTTATTTGAAGCAACTGACCTGTTCCTATAGGAGACAGTTACCAAATTTTCTTAATGAGTAATACCATGGCATTTATACTGTAAATTTGGCATAAGATATCTTGTTCTCATGAGACTATTCCCCACCTCAGCTTGCCAGCCAGCCAGCCAGCCAGTCTGCCAGTCAAATACACATACCTTCCCCAGCTACCTGCCAAGCCTTAAGAACCAGGAAGAGGACTTTATTTATTTTGAACAGCTCAATCTAGAAAAAACTTGTCCTTTTGACCTTAAGTTTCTGAGAATGATAAGTAGAAGAACAATAACTAAAAGTATCACTTAAAAGAATGGTTTTCAAATATTTTTTGTCTATGACTTATAATCAAATAAAATACATTTTATAATGCATGTCACTGTGCACACATACATAACTAAAACCAAAGTTTCATAAAACAATATAACTATATGTATGTACATTACTACATGTGACACACTTACTAAGCATGATACACTGATAATATCTTTTCTATTTTAATTTTGTTAGCTTAAAAGTGTGGTCATGCAATCCACTGAACTGATTTCATGCATCACTAAAAAATGCCATTTGAAATTAAAAAAAATATTGCCTATGCAATCTATGTCACTTACTAAATGTAAAAACATCTACACACCAACATACAAATGGAGAAAATAAAAATGGGCCAGCGGTGTCCTAAGACCTATATTTCTAGGATTAATACTTTGGGGAATTGAGAAAAACATGAATGGGAGAAACAGCAAAGGCTAGCATGACATAAGTGCAAGCATAATGATACAGTATGAGAGCATTAAGTGTTACAGGCAATTGATCATAGAAAGGATTCTAAGTAAACAATAAAATCATATTTTTAATTGAATAGGCTGGGAACCAAGGTTATATATAAGATTCTGTAGAAATATTTGTAATTCATTCAAACATTAAAAATACTATATTCATTAAAGTCATTAAAATAGTTTATTCTAAAATACTGAGATTAAAAACATGCCTAGGGCTGGAGATGTAGTTCAGTGGTAGAGAACTTGCCTAGCATGAGTAAGTTCAATTCTCAGTACCACAAAAAATCAAAAAAATTTGAAAAATTGGAAAAAAATTATTTTAACTTTATTTAAAAATATTTGATCTTTACCAGTTAGCAACTTCCCCCAAATAGGATTTTTTAAAAAATCCGAGAATAGATGTGTCCACATTTTCTGAATATATATATAACTGATAAACTCATATAATATTATCAATATTTTCATAGTTATTGCTTTTTTATTTTTATTTCTTATTGGTTTGAGACCCACAAATTCATCTCAACATTTGGTAATAAGGTATGAACTTATAAAACTTTAGAAAATGGATTAGGCAGACTACAACAAAGAAAGTCATTTGTTGAAAAAAACACGTTTTCTATAAAACAGAAAATATAAGCATATGTAACTAAAGTAAGATTCTTTGCTTATCCCTAGTATCAGCTACAAACAAAAACTCTTCACATATTCATATGGCAGTACATATGATCATTATTTTGTAGAAAAGACCATTTCATTTAACCTTTACTCAATATTCTTTCTGAAGCTCATATACAGCTAAGAATTAAAACATCTGTGTTTCAAGTTTATAAATCGACTATTCCATACTGTCCAAAGAAATGAGAATGGATTATCTAGGCAATATTATCATGTACAAATTATGATTTGTTCTTGACTTTCATTTTCATATCTGCTTAATACATACATAGACAAAAATACTTGTATGCACATATACAAATATATACATATATTTCCATTAAACTACTTCTATGAAACGCAGTATAAGTTAACATATTAAAAAACAGGGTTTTTTTTTTTTAGTATCAAGAAACAAAAAGAGGTAAAAAGTTATGAAACACTAGCAGATTAAATCTTGGTTACGTATCTGTACTTGCAAAGAAAAAAACATTGTCAGAAATACTCATTAAAAGTATGTTACAATTTCTTGAAATTCAGCCAGTCTCTCAAGGAAAATATAAACACTGACACAAAAAAAATTAAACCAAAAAATTTGAGACAAAGTTAAAAAATTTACCTGAAATTCTGGTACAGTAGGTGACTTTGTGACAGTTTTCCTCTTCTTTGTGATTGCTTTTTTAGATATGGATTTTTTTCCTTTCAAGATTAAAAGAGAAAAGCTTCATAATGCTGTTTACAGCACTTCATTAACAAAAACCAAATTACATAGAGCCTTGAAAGTTAAATTATAACTAACAGATGGCTGCTAGTGAGTCAAATAAAAATGATGAATCAAACAAGCCCAGCAAAAGCAAACATTAAACTATAACTACCTGTAACAGACACATTAACAAATGCTGTCCTGTTTATATAAGAACCAACTATTACTATTCCCAATGTGTTATATAAGTATCAGAATTTATTGCAATAAGATTAGGAAAAAAAGCCACAGTATTACTATTCAGTTACTAACTACATTCACAACTTAAAATGAGATGACATTCGGGGAAAAAACCTTACCTTTAATAATGACTTCTGCACTCAGGAACTTGCAATAAGAACTATATCTGAAGATTATGATCTCTAGACAACCTAATGTGAAAATCTCCTCAGTAGCTTAAGAAACAAAGGTTTTTCTATTCCTTTAAGCTTTGCATTTACCTAATGGGCTTCCCTTGGCAGAATTCAATCCACAGTTTAAAAAGAAGGTAAATATCTCCCTTTAAAGTGTACCTAGTAATTTGTGCAATCAGAAATCATTGGGAAAAATAAATGTCATATTCTTAAAGAAACCCAATTTGTAGCACACATTTAAAGTCTGTTTCTTTGCATTTAACTTAACAAAAAAGGATACACACAGAAAACTTTTTTTGGTATGTTTTTCCACATTTGTAATTAGCAAAAATCAATTAATAAATTGCTGTTAATTATTCAACAATGCTAGATATAGTATACTATAATTTATGGATACAATTAGAAATTATAAAATGAAGGCCTTGTCCTCCAAGAGTTTATGATCTAACGAGGGCAAAAAAATTAAGTGATGCTTCTATGTTAATTTTGGCTCATAATCATTTGTAGGCAAAAATCAACTTAAGAGTTATTTTTTCAAAAGGGAAAAGGAGTAAACAGAGTAAATTTGCTGTACATAATTTTAAAGTTTCTTATTTTCCTAAATAGATACAATCTCAGATGAGAGATTCAGTTTTTATTGCAACATTTTATTCAAGATAATTGATAAAACTCCAGTAAACAATATAATTGCACTATTTTCTGTATTCCTTTTTAATCATATCACAGAACCATAATTTAAATAATTTCCAATTTTTGATTCAAAATGTATGTATCTGCTGAGATTCACAAATTTAAATATTACTGTCTTGTTTTAATAAGTATTAACTTGCTGTCATTTGACATTTGCTTTTATTTAAAATAAAGTAATCTAACATATATTTTCTCATCACTATTATTTGCTCTGTGCTTACACTGTACCTAAAAGAAAACTAAACTTGTATGAAAATAGGTGAGTGGATGGGTTGCTTAAAAGAGCAATACTTGGGGAGAAGTAATTAAATTCTTGGTATCTCTATGATACAGCTATCTCAAGGGAATTTGTGAATCTGAATGTCAGGATGCCTTTTCTGTATACATCATCTTTATTTATCATTTAAAAAATTATGGGAAAAGATTTAATGAACTTGCTGACCTAAGCCTAGTAAAACTTAATCAAAATAGCAATTTGAAGGAAAGGAATTCTTCAGTGTAGCCCCTCTGACCTGCAGTACAGCTCTAATTACCTTTAAAAAATTATTTGATTCTGTATTTGTTTGTAAGTAAAAGTCACGCTTGATAGTCCCATGAATTTCTTATTGTTGTCACATAGGTACTAAATTCTCAGTTCACTCTATCAGCCACTCTATTTTAGTAGGATCAGAAGCTGAAGTGGTTGCTAGTTATTTCAATTCACCACTAAAGCATTAGGATGCTTTAAAACTATTAAGTTACTGGAGGCAGTATTCTATAATTATGCAGTGGTTTTAAGATTGAGTTGTGGAACTAAATTACATGGGTTTGAATATTTGCTATAACCACCTACTGGCTGCATGACCTTGAGCAAGCTGCTTTATTTCTTTGTGCAGTGTTATTATCTGCAGAACAGGAATAATTTTACCTAATCTGTGACAATTAAACGAGTTACAACATGCAAAGAGCTTAGAATATTGCTACTCATACGGCAAATGATCAATAAGTTATTGTTTCTGTTTTAGCTTTAGTGAGAAGAATCTAAGCAGAAAATCTTTAACTTTTCAATTCTTTTTCTTACTCCTTTATTGTAGTTCTTGCTCATATGTCCTCTGTGCTATTACTCTACTTTTTACACAAATTAATGACTGTAACATTTAATCATAGAATATTAAAACTATTTAAATGTTTGTCTTCCTTACTATGTTGTTACTGGTGATAGAAATCATATTATTCAATTTGTATATGGCCCACAATAAATTCTGAGAAGTGATTCTTAAATACAAGAATACCACTTTTTATCAGAAATTTTGCCTGTCTGGGGATAGGAAAAAAAAAGATAATTATTCACAATTCTTTTCATCTATCTGCCCATTTAATAGTGAGGACAACATTTATCAATGACTTTAAACAATTTACACTATTTACCAGTATTTTACAACATGACCTAGCACTGGTTGTAGGAAGACTAATATTTTTTGAGAGTCAACTATGTGTCAGATACTTACTAAAGTGATTTATATAAATTATATCATTTAATTCTCAAAGCAACCCAAGGTAGGTGAGGCACCCTATTGTAGTATGGCACAACCAAAGATTAATTAATGTTCTCAAGTGTCACACAGTAAGTACGTACCACAGCCAGAAATTCTAACTCCAAAGTCCAAGCTCCTTTCATTATATAATTCTACTTCACAAAAATCCTAGTTACCATTTCCTGACCAATTCAATTCCTACCACATACTAGGCTCCATACATGCAAGATTCTATGCATTTGCTAATCTAATTAATCTTTATAACAATATCRCAAAACAGGTACTGTATTGTCTCTTTTTTCATGGATAAAGAAACCAACTATAAACAAAAAAAGAAATTAATGAAGGACTTGTAGTTAATAAGCAGTGAAACATATACTTGAATCTAGATCTGTCTTCACTTCAAAGCCGTGCTTTTTGATGGTAAAATACTATATTCAAACTGCTTCTAACTGACTTCAGAGTTTTCCTTTTGACTAGGGATAGAAGAGCTGAATATTCATTGTACTTAATATCTTAAGTCTGTATCCTCAATAAAACCCCAATAATTTGAATTCAAATTTTCCTGCATTTAAAATAAAAAACAGTGTTTACTTTTTATTAAATATTATTTTTGAAATGAAGCATGTGATATTACAAAATCACACAATCTTTATTTGGTAATATGTTTTTGTTTCAGGATAAGACATACACTAGGCAAGTTACACACTGCCCCCCAGTGGGCTTTCACTCCCCTACAATTTTTTTGATCATACCCTGGGTCTTTTATTCCCACGGCCCTAAGTCACCTGGTCTTTTAAAATCTAATATAATTCTCAGACCTAGGATTGTGCTGGAATTAGAGATCAGTTTAAAACATAAAAGAACTTAAAGAATGGTATGAGGTATGAAGTTTTAGTCTCACACCATTCTTAAGCTTAAAACATAAATGTGCAAAAATTGTCAACTTGTACTTGGAAAATGCATAAAACTTATTAATAAACCTTAATAATAAAACTTAGTAATTAATATTACAAAAGTATATCTAAGAAAGCTTTCTAAACACTACTCTTAGAACAGAAAAAAATGGTGCTTAACTTGAGAGAAATCATGGATAAAAATATATTTTATACTATAACTGAGGCACAAAACCTTAATCCTCTAAAATCTAGAAATATGTCTCATATTATAGATATGAAGGTACTTATCATCTTCATTTCAACTTCTCTTTCCTCACTTTCTTATTTTTCATTTTTATTCCTAGACTCTACCTGGTTTCCGTTGTCTGTCTTCACTCTTTAGCCTCTGGGGCTACTCAAAGACTTCTACCATTTCAATGCCTTCCTAGATTTAGTTTCAGTGTTTTAAAATTATCCCAACACAGTCACTACTTGCTCAGTGTCTTTATTTTAGAAATATTAATAAGCAAGTAGTTTAAAAAGACATTAGTTTCTGTTAAAAGTAAAAACCCCAAGGACATTTGTATTATTAAATAGTGAATCTGAGAAGTTCCAGAGATGTGAAGCCGTAGAACTGGAGTCTATAATTGACCCTATTTACTAACATGCATGCCTTTAGCTAATATTTATATTCTGCAGAAGTTTCTGAAATGTATTGTTTCTAATCTATTTGATCTCAATAAAACAGCTGATTTTCCCCTCTGTTATTCTTGCCTATGAGCAAATTTTTCATCATACTGGTAATTCTTCAACCTTATCACATAATACAGTAACTCCTTAACACCCCATTTTCCCAGTTAACTTAAATATTGAATTGATGCCAAATTCTGCTACTTGTTTTAATATCTATTAAAATGGAATTTTCTTCTGTCAATGTGATAAAATAGCCATATTACTTATATGGATTTAAAAGTCATCATTCTTTATCTGGATTTAAATTTCTTCTTCTTCATTATCTTCTATCTCTTCATTCAAGCCCTGTCAGCCTCTTTTCATACTTTTTCATGGCATCTTCATTATCTTGTGAGATCTTTTTTCCTAATCCTGCCATTTATTAGCTGTGTAAGCTTGGACAAATAAATAAATCTCTGTACCTCAACTTTTARAATCTATAAAATGGGAATATAATAGCATTTACTTTTTGGAGTTTTTTGAAGGCACTATTATATAAGGCTTACGGTGCTTGGTACACAGTGAGCATTATATTAGTTTTTTGGGGGGAACAGAAGGATTTGAATAATGAAAGGCCACGGAATATAGCCAACTCTTTCACTCATATCTTGGAATCTCCAGTTGGTACTCAAAAAGTTTTCCTCCATGAAGATAACCATAGTTAGGTTCTAAAGTGCTATCAATATAGAATACTACAAACTTTTCACACATATGGACCTGGAAGTAATCAAATATAAATAGCATTGTTTTCTCATTCATTTTCTATTAA